AGGATTCTTGAAATACTTGATTTGACTCATTTTTTTCTTATTTCAAGAATCCTACCAAGTAATTTTCTTACTCCATTGGCAGAAATTTTTGATTTAATTGTAGTCAGATTTTCAGACTAACAAGAAAAATAATCTTACACATTCTGAAAACAAGATTATTATTCTTACACAATCAGTTCTTGTTTAGTAAATCAGTCTCAAAACAAGATCAAAAAGACTTTTTGGCTGATATAAGATTTTAAAACTTGGTAAGATGGACATACTTCTAGTCAGAAGAAAGCACCTATATATTTGCCTACTATCTCCCCCTGAAAAAAACAAAACAACAAACAGCAACTATTGAAAGAAATGCACATCATATGCAATTGAGAAAGCTAAACTCTATGATGAATGACTGAAAAAAAATTGGTATACACTTTTTTCAGTCATATATTAGGGTAAGTGTAATGGAATTGTGAGGTCTGAAAAGTCACAGCTCTAGTCCTGATGTGTAAAACCTTAAAATTGGAAGAAGGTGTAGGACACCTGCACTCAAAACTGACAGAGCTTCAGATTTTCTGCTTTTCAACAGGCGTGCTTAGCAGTCCTTTCCTTTCTATTACCACAACCTTCCACTGAGTGCTCCTTTTCTCAGGCACACTGTGCATAAATGCAGCTCTTTTCACTGTCAAATTTTTATATACACACTGCATTTAATGTACACTCACTGACTTACTACCCCACACTGCCTCTTTCACACAAAGTGAAACGAGCTCAGTCTGAGAATAATGCTTCCTGACTGCTTTGTGCTAAATATGTTTCAGGAGTGTAGAAAATTGCTGCACATGTTCCTACACAAATGCTTATTTTTTTCAGAGAGATGAAAACTACTACTTTGCCTACTCAGTGGTGACTCTTTTGACATGTCTCACCAGGGACAAAACAGCAAGCCCCTAAAACGTGACTGCACCACATGCACTTAGGCACTGTGTGACACAGTGTGGGGTAGACTCAAAAAAATACATCAGTCCTCTTCAAGCTTGGTGAACGTTTTAGTTTTTTTTATTTTTATTTTTTTTTTTGGATGGAAAACAACAAATCTGACAGACTACAATGACTACAGGTAGCACCAACTCCTAGTTAGGCACACCTGGTTCAAAAATGTTCTTAAAATTTCTCTGCTAGACTTGATTCCTCAGTCACGGAACAATGCCTTTCAGCATTCTGGGATGCAGCAGAAGCGCACACAGTCCAAATGAACAGTTATATGAAAACACTTTTGCAATCGATCAGTGCCTGAGGCAGAACTCTCATTCATGATTGTCCTCTCAGCAGTCGAGTTTCAGGAGGCAGCTTCAACCTAAGTATAACCATGAAAGATAACCAATATCCTCAGGAGTAACYCTCTGAAACAGCTAAGAATGGCCCACCTGTTTGCCTAACGTTTGAATTTGGTTAACATTTTGACATTATCTCCCTGCTTTGACTTCACACTGGATTACAGTGCCGATTCCAGTAATGGCATGTTCAGAAGCAGAATGCRGCAACATTTTGTTCTAGTTACAAATAACTAATCTGTCATTTAAGTCTTTAATTTTCACTGTAAATCCAAASAACAACACCTTAGCCTCTCAGTGTCTGTTTGTGATGAAGTAATTACATCTATCAAGACATTCCAAAATTAGCAACCCTATAAACACACAAAAAAGTAATACTAGCTTTCTGTTGACTACCATGCAACTACTAAACAACTGATTTAGTTTACTGAAGTAGATTTCGTGTATGGGGGCTACTAGCATAATCAAATATGCACATTGGGTTAAATCCTTTGATTTTGGCCTTGACCAGCAGCCTGAGACCATGACCACAGGGCGTGCAGGAGCCATGGAGAGCACAGATGGGGCCTGTGGCAGAGACCCGGGTTGCACAGGCTGAAGCCAGGAGAGAAAGTAATCCATCAGGCAAAGGCACTCTGGTGCCTTGGGGCGTCAGTCACTGATCGTGTAAGACTGATTAGGCCTCTGTGGGAGGCCAGAACCCCTGACAGCATGGACATCAGTGCCCGGCTTGCTCCACTGAGGCCTGAACTGATCTGGACTGAGCCAAAGCAGTGACCTGCTTCCATTTGGATTTTGTGGAGGAAGCTATGTAGATCAAACATATCAGTGTGTACCGAAACAAACTTTATAGTCTCAAGTGCAACACATTTAAATCAAAATCTTTGTTATGGCAAAACATTTTGTTTTACCAATATGTATTAATTTCTCTTAGAAACAAAGAATTTTTTTTTTAGCTAGACACTACCTTAAAACTAACTTTAACGACACTGTACTGTGAAAAAC